ATACTCCGTATCGGTATCGGCTCCGATACTGGCATTTTCTGTCAGATCGGGTATCGGTCAGACGAGACCGATCCAAATCCCATATTGTGTGTATACTATTCTGTTATTGTTAAGCCGCACGAAAGGCACAAAAACATTTTAAAGCACCATCAAGTTTCAGTGCACTAATTCCAAGTGCTCTGAAGCAGTTCCATAGTTTAATGTGAGGTAGATGAATATTTAAGTCAAGTTCATGTAAACTCTTCTCTCCGCTGCAGCTGTCTGTCATCCTCCATTCAGCATTCAAACTGAGCATCGCATTCGGTTACGACAGTCAAGATGATGAAACGGTCTTCAAGAGTGCACAGTAACTGAGATTTAAAACCGTTAAAAGAAAAGGCTCAAATTATTGCACAGATTTAAAGGGTTAGTTCACCCAAAAATGAAAATTCTTCACCGTCATTTAGTTCCAAACCCGTAAGACCTTCATTCATCTTCAGAACACAAATTAAGGTATTTGATGAACTCTGAGAGCTCTCTGACCCTCCCATAGACAGCAATGTAATTACCACAATCAAGGTCTAACGTAGCAAGGACATCGGTAAAGTAATCCATGTGATATCAGGGGTTGAAGCATAATTTTACGAAGCAACGAGAATACTTTACGTATGCTGTTCTGTGTCAGCCGCACCACACGGATACGTTTTCTAAGTTGTTTGTGCTTTGATTTGAACGTAAAACAATGTATCCGTGGGGTGCGTCTGACACAGAACAACATACGCTGTTTGCATTTAGTGGATACTCTCCAAAATGGCGCTAGGGTGACGCAGAGGACACGAATTGTTGAATAAAGTCGTTTTTTTTTCTCTTTTGTGTTAATTTGTGTTCCGAAGATGAACGAAGGTTTTACGGGTTTGGAAAGACATGAGGGAGAGTAATTAATGACAGAATTTTCATTTTTGGGTGAACTAAACCTTTAATACACTAAGCATTAATATCTCTTCACTTTTTGCTTTAAACATTTCTATGCTGCGCGCTGTGGTTCTTGACGTGTTGCTTCAAGCGCATGATTCTGTGCATGGGATGCGCATAAGCGCTTTGCCCTGTATTGAGTCTTTCGTTATTATAATACTTTTGCGCAATGAAAGATTAATAACCTTTCTTGTTCCATCCTATCTATCATATGTTGCCGTCTTCATTACTGTGCTATTTTAATTTATATTTAAAAAAATATATATATATATGTATGGCAGTATATATATATATATATATATATATATATATATTAGTTTTTCATGAATGTATTTTACAACAATACAAAGAGCAATGTAACATTTGACCAGATTTAGTCCTACACTTATTCACTTATATTTGTTCCCCACTAAATAATGTTATTTCACTAAATGTTTAGATTTTATAAACTTATTCTGCACTCATGATGTTTCTAGAATAAATTTTGCTGCTGAATTATTTACTAACCTAATTTATAATAGTATTTTTGTCATAGATTAAGATGATATATTTTTTCAATTGTTATTTTTCTTTAAAATGAAGTGGTCTATATTTAGTAGATTGTGTTTAACACACAAAACAGTGATGATTAGGTCAACAACACTGAGGTGTAGAAATTCTACATTGATAAAAAAAAAAAACACTGCTGGTATCGGATCAGTATCGGCCGATACTCAGAATTTTTTGGTATCGGATTGGTTCTGAAAAAATGGTATCGGTGCATCCCTACTGCTTCTGCACTGCTTACGTACCGCACATGGACTGCATACGCACTGCAAACGGAGTATGTGTGAACCTGGAGTAAAAGGCCACCTCATATACAGCTCAGGAAATCAGGCTTGTGCTGTGTGTAAGCTACTGTGCAGCAATTACACGATTGTCAAAATAAAAATACAGTGCATGATCAAACATTTAGGTAAGATAAATATATATTTTTGAAAAATATCTAAAAAATGCCCCCCTCCACCCCTCAAATTAAAAAATCCCCTCTCACAAGGGTCACCTAAGAGAGGAATTAATTCTCAAATTTAATTCAGGCCCTGAATAAATGTCTAAAAATCTCGATTATATCCTCACTATAAATAATTCTACATGATAAAAAGAAGGCTTTAAAAAGATCGGTATCGGTGATCATATCGGCAGATACTGCTTTCTGTGATCGGCCTCAAAAATCCTGGTCAAAGCACCCCTAAATAAGTAGTAGTATACATTTAATTTACAGTGAGCATTATAAATTGTTTTTATACATTTAATTTTACTTTATACAATGCATGTAGCATTTCTTATTTATTTGTTCTATTGTAGTTTTTTTGTCCTATTGCTAGTAATTAGTTTCTTATTCTTTTTTAATCACTGATTGTTTACTTGTCTTCAGTGAGCTTGATTTTTTTTTTAAGGCTATTAGTTTTTTTTATGATACTGACACTGGTGACAAGAATTATGAAATGTCTACGATATCAAAAATGTTGATATCATAAGACATTATCTAAAGCAAAAAAATACATACATTGTGATTTTTTTATTGATACCATGAAATAAAATGACTCGCATCATGATATAAGATTTTGGTCATATCGCCCCACCCCAGCACCAATCTACAATTTCAAGAAAAGAGTCGATCGTAAAGTAGAAAATATAATGGTAAATCTCAAGAAACCGGTCAAGAAATATTCAGGTCCTATTTGATCACAAAACTGAAAGGAAGAAATAAGAAACTGCATTTTGCTTCAAGAAAATTAAGTCCATTTCATGATTTTTTTTAAAGATTGTTCATGACAATTAAGCTCATTTGTTGTGCTGCTTATAATTAATGCTGATTTAAATGGGAAAAAAAATTATGCAATAATTTTTACTGGGGATACTTGTTTAATTGTCAGGAAAATAGTGTCACAAAAAGAGTCCTATAAGAGGTTTCAGTTTCTTTAGAAAATAAATAAATAAGCAAACCAGCACAGTATTTGTTGTGCTGCCTATAATTAAAAAAATTAAATAAAATAATGTCACAAAAATCATGAAAATAATGTCGCAATGCAAAAAAAAAGAAAAAAAAAAAGGGCTATTTTATGCACATTTGGTAATGTTTTTGTGAGTTGCATTTAAAAGGACAGAACAGATTGGATTATTCTCTGCTTCCAGTACAAGCCTAACAGTAAAGACAATGTTTAGCTGAAACCACAGTCCATGGTGTTTCCTTGGATTACAGGGAATAAAGCTGAAAATAATGTTTCTTGCACAGAGCAATCGTTTTGCTTCTTAAGACCTCAATAATATCTCATCAGGAAACATTGGTATTCATTTTTTTGTTCCATGAAAGATTTTGGTCATATCGCCCCACCCCAGCACCAATCTACAATTTCAAGAAAAGAGTCGATCGTAAAGTAGAAAATATAATGGTAAATCTCAAGAAACCGGTCAAGAAATATTCAGGTCCTATTTGATCACAAAACTGAAAGGAAGAAATAAGAAACTGCATTTTGCTTCAAGAAAATTAAGTCCATTTCATGATTTTTTTTTAAAGATTGTTCATGACAATTAAGCTCATTTGTTGTGCTGCTTATAATTAATGCTGATTTAAATGGGAAAAAAAATTATGCAATCATTTTTACTGGGGATACTTGTTTAATTGTCAGGAAAATAGTGTCACAAAAAGAGTCCTATAAGAGGTTTCAGTTTCTTTAGAAAATAAATAAATAAGCAAACCAGCACAGTATTTGTTGTGCTGCCTATAATTAAAAAAATTAAATAAAATAATGTCACAAAAATCATGAAAATAATGTCGCAATGCAAAAAAAAAGAAAAAAAAAAAGGGCTATTTTATGCACATTTGGTAATGTTTTTGTGAGTTGCATTTAAAAGGACAGAACAGATTGGATTATTCTCTGCTTCCAGTACAAGCCTAACAGTAAAGACAATGTTTAGCTGAAACCACAGTCCATGGTGTTTCCTTGGATTACAGGGAATAAAGCTGAAAATAATGTTTCTTGCACAGAGCAATCGTTTTGCTTCTTAAGACCTCAATAATATCTCATCAGGAAACATTGGTATTCATTTTTTTGTTCCATGAGAAGCTTTTTTTATTCTCAAAAACGTGCTGTCTTGCATTTTATGAATCACAATGGTTTCGGCTAAAATCTTCTTTACTGTTCAACTAAAGATAAACAGACATCGTGGATGGCCTGAGGGTGAATAAATTAACAGCAAATTTTCATTTTGGGGCGAATGATCTTTTTAATTATGATTTGAAAAAAAAAAAACGTAATATTATCAATACCGATATGATCACCAACATATTACGAATCCCTGATACCATCGTCAAATAATCTAGCAAACAGCAGCTAATAGTGACCATCAGATTTCATAATAAATGTTTATCTGTTAGGAAGCGGTTGATAAAACACCTACAGACTGTGAGGAGGAGGAGTTTCCTCCACAAACACAAGATTATCATGATACAGATGAATAATTCAAAAGCACCATCTCTCTTCTCTCGCTTCTTAATTACTGCCACTAATATCAGCCTGACTAATGGAGCAGCGCTGTGCGCAGATTCTGCTCTGCTGCTTCTCCGGTCTTTATATTGCATCTCGCCTCTGGAGGTCACTGCAAGTCTAGACCATCATGCAATTAAGGGATGCATTTGTAATTCAATGAAGATGGGTGACCTAAATTACATCCTGGCTGAAATTAAAATATTTACCATGCATAAAAAAAAAATCTACATGGGTTATTACTGAACAAAATAGCACAGGACATGGTCAACCGAAGCATTCTGATTAGAGGAGCCAATCGTGACATACTAAGCTAGCAGGTTACTGTTTTTTTAGTCATGCATTTGTTTTCCTTCAGGGGTCTCTTGGAGGCTCAGAAAACCGAATTCAAATTCTCAAGTCACGTTTTGTCTTTTTAGAGACATCGGTATGCCAAAAAAATGTATGTTTATTTTCAAAGAGCCTACTGATGCTGTATTTCGGTTCTAGTGGCATATTCAAGGTAAAGGCTTCATCACTCACCTCAGATATGCAGGTGACTCTGCGTGGATGTGGCGCCTCTTGCTGGAGCTGGTACACTATTACAACAAAATATCACTAACGTTTCAGATATTCTGCTTTATATACAGAAAAAAATGGAATGCAGCTATTTTGAAAATTACACAAATGACATCTAAATGCATATTTCTATATTGCATATGGCTTCTTTTTCTTGCAAGATGCGGTTAAGTGACAAAACGTATTTTCTTCTATTCGCTGTAGTCTCCAGAGTCCAGTTTACTTCTCTAGTAGAATGATGTTCACCTGTGAAATGTTACTGCTAACTAGTTGTTACAATAAACACTTTTCTATAAGACGTTTTATATGTTGCTGTAATAAGAAGTACACTTACAGTAGGATTTCCACACAGGCGGCCTGTACTCATCATTATCTAAGAGAAATAAGAGACAAAAATGAATAAAAATTCAAATGCATGAAAACGACACGTTATGTATTGTGAGAAAAATACCCGGTTCCCTGACAGCGCCTAGACAATAACATCAACATTTCAGCAGCTTGAGCTTAACTGCATTTATTCATTATTTTAATGTCCAGTGATCAGTGAGTAAACATCAGCAGCTCACTTCACATATCTGTGTGAGACCGCCATCTGCTGGAAGTATTTTTTGTTAAAGATCTCATTTTTTCCCCCATTTTAGTTGAACTTTTTTTGTATTACTATCACGTTTATTACTATTCTATTCCTTTTGTTTTACAATGCAAGTCACAGATGATCTAAATGTAACATTTATCAAACGTTTTATTATGGAAATAAAATACAGTAAAAATAGTGCAATTTAAAATAGCGGTTTTCTGTTTTTATATATTTGAAAACGTAATTTATTCCTGTGGTCAAAGCTGCATTTTCATCATTAAATCAGCATGAATGATTTCTGAAGGATCATGAGGACAACTGGAGCAATGATGCTGAAAATTCAGCTTTGCCAACACAAATAAATTATATTGCACAATATTACTCGAATAGAAAACGGTCATTTTAATTTGTAATAATAAATCACATTATTACAGTATTTTTGATCAAGTAAATGCAGCCTTGGTGAGCAGAAGAGATGTCTTCAAAAAAACACAAACAAAAATAATGTAAAAGGTTACTCCAAACTTCTGACCGATAACCGATATATTTTTTTTTAAATATAAAACCTATTTTGTTTATGTTATTAATTTAGAAAACAGCCCATATTCACAGAAAATGTGGTGAAGGTTGCTCATTTAGAGAGTAATTCATTATATTATTATGCAATATCATGTTATATTTATTTATTTTAATGTCATCTGACCACTAGCGGAAGGACTATATGATATGCTATGCACTATATAAATAACCAAATGTATGCAAAAATAAAAACAGAAAATATGCAATATATTAATACAATATTCTATATGATTTTGCACATGCCACATTTCAGTGGTGATTCCGAATGGATTTGCTGGAAGAAAATGTTGCTGGTTCTTCAGAGTGGTCATTATAAGATGAATGAATACTAGCAGGAAAACCCTGCTGGAAGCACGTCATGAACAATAGAGCACAGGAGAGGGAGAGGCCCTTCAGAAAAACCAGGCCCCGCTCCACAATACTGTGCTCCTAACTCATCATGCCAACTCACTCTCACTCTCTCGGAGGAAAGACCCTCCGACAGCTTCCTCTTCCTTTCACACAAACATCCAAAATAGAAAATAAAACATTCTATTATGTTCATGACAAAAGGTACATCCAAGTGTAAAGCAGTTGAATATATTCAAGGCATCTGAGAAGAGCAGTATGAGTCTGGGTGTGTAGTGATGGAGAAGTGTTTAACAGCATAAATTCAGATCTATCTTCTTCTAACGGTCACACACTTACTACTGATAATCTGCGTATGATTCAGCACTGATTCAGATTCAGATATTAATAGAAAATGGCTGCTTCCTTATCAAGAGATAAGAGAAAACACATTTCTTCTCCATGACTTCAAGTGTTTGAGGCGTATGCTATTGAGCTCAGGCAGTCAAATGTGACCCTGGAGCACAAAAGCAGTCTTAAGTCGCTGGGGTATATTTGTAGCAATAGCCAAAAATACATTGTACGGGTCAAAATTATAGATTTTTCTTTTATGCTAAAAATCATTAGGATATTAAGATCATGTTCCATGAAGATATTTTGTACATTTCCTACCGTAAATATATCAAAACTTCATTTTTGATTACTAATATGCATGGCTAAGAACTTCATCTGGACAACTTTAAAGATGATTTTCTCAATATTTAGATTTTTTTGCACCCTCAGATTCCAGATTTTCAAATAGTTGTATCTCGGCCAAATATTGTCCTATCCTAACAAACCATACATCAATGGAAAGCTTAGTTATTCTGCTTTCAGATTACATAAATATCAAATTAATAAAAAATGTACCCTTATGACTGGTTTTGTGGTCACATTTAAGTAGCTGATCTATAACACATCCATGAGCTTGATTTCATTCAGGTTTAAGCTTAAAATTAAAAGTATTGGTGTAAATGTAGATGCGTTTTCATCAAGTTTCTCATTATTTTTAATTCACTTCGCGAGTTTATTCCAAAGGTTCTTGCAGCCACACATTATTTTTAATTACATGTAGGCTACACACATTCGCCTAATTAATATGAGCTCATAAACAACATGAATATTAATCAAGAGTCATCAAAATGAAGAATTTTGATCGCAAATGTTTTAGATGAAGCCACAGCATACGCAATGTTCATTTTCGTCTTTAATAATCAGTTACCTGTTGCCATGAAGGACAATCTGCAGTGCATGAGCTATTATAGTGTGACCACTTCAACAAAGCAGACACTGAAGATGAGGACAAACAAGAGAAGAATAACCTTCACAACGCCAGAATATAAACAAACAGCAGGATGAAGTTATTTTGAGCACATGATCTCTTTGTGAAGCCGCACTTTAAGTGTGTTTGTGTACACGCAATAAAATAAAAACACTGTTCATTTTGACTGGAAATGATGCAATGAAATCTCATTGCATCTCTCTATGAAATATATATATGTGTTTTGCCTTCACACACACAAACACACACACACACTCACAGACACTCACAGACACAGACACACACAGTCACTCTCACACACACACACACACACACACACACACACACACACACACAGCGATCTGTTGTCATCCAAACTCCAAATAAAAGCGGACAACTGAGACGGACTCACCAAACACATGGATGGCCATCGCAGTCAGTGATCCAGACGCACAAAGCTTTGAACTACACACACCTTATACCCTAACATCCGCAGCTAGCCCATAAGCAACGAGCCTGATTCTACGACAAGCAACCTTATATTCAGGAGGAGAAGGACGCGAGGTGACCCGGCCCCGGTGGCTGTGCTGAGCGCTGCTCTGAGCTCTGGTTCACTTCTCTCACTTCTCACATCCCAGCACTGAAGTCGCCATCTTGAGAGACCACATGACCTGATCCACACGCGCGCGCTACCATGGAGACGCCCTCTGTGACGAAGTGCGCGATTCAGCACGTCCTAAATAATACGAGACGCTTCTAAAGCTTTAGGGGTGCCACCTGTGCTTGTATTAATGTAGGGAGTAAAGACAGTAACAGCAGCATATCAAAAACTAAATCAGCCTAACTATAGATAAACGAATGCCGTTTTTTCCTCATTATTGCATATAGAGAGAATACATTCACAAATAGCTTTAAATAGTGTCTTTTCAAAGATGATTTCGGTGATGCAGTGTGGTATCCATACACATATTTCCCAATTCAAATGTAATTCACAAGTATGTCACTGGATTTGATTCAGATTTTTTATTGTATTCCAACTTATTTGCACATATTTGGACAGAATAATGCTCATTTTGATCACTCACACACACGCTCTCTCTCTCTCTCTCACACACACACTCTCACACACACTCACACACACACACACACACACACACTCTCTCTCTCACACACACACTCACACACTCAC